AACCTGCTGCACTAGATTCTCCACTGGCGCGAGCTCCAAAACCTCAATCGCCAGCGGGCGTCCAACACGAATTTGCTCCATCAGGACTACTATTTCCGCCAACCGGTGTGGATTGGCTGTGAAGTGATGTACTACTGTTACAGCACGCACCCAATAAACGGGTCTTTTCAGCTCTATGTTTACATCAGCCGGTGGGGATGCTCTTAAAGGGAGTATTTGCTGTCCCGTTAACATTTGTTAATCTGATTACCATTCTGCGAAAAGTGCCAATCTCACTCCGCCACAGTCGCATCTGATTGGACATTAGAACATGGATGAACAGCCAATGAAATCGTCGAGATGCAAAGATAGTCGGCCTGCATAGGGTATGCGGACTCCTACTCCGGAGTAATGTCCACGAGCTCATACACTCTACATACTCCATACACTCTACATACTCCGGAGTATGAATAAAAATATACTTCGAAGTATTTCACTGCACAACATAACAATTTGTGTATAATGTTGTGGAGATTAAATATACCAATGAGATGGCCGTATCATGAGCAGCACAAGCCCAGTCGAATTCAAAACTTATCGACCCATCGAGCAAATATACTGTAACAACCATTGTGATGGGCGTATCACCAGGTAATTGAGCAGCAAAAGGCCAGGCACCAGCTCCATCACAAAAGCGCTCGGGCCAGCAGATAAGATCGTCGGCGTGTTCTCCAAGAAGTACAAAGAGCTTGTCAAGTCGATCGATTCACGTGGATCACATTATCGATTATTACACGCAACCGAGCGACCAAGGCTTCGGCTTGGGAGCATTCGGAGGGGGTGGTAACAACTCGTTAAGAGGGGGTGGCAACGGGTCGTTCGGAGGGGACAACAACGGGTCGTTCGGAGGCAACAGCTCGTTCGAAGGGGCCGGCAGCAGCTCGTTCGGGGGAGACGGCAACGGGACGTTCGGAGGCAACACCTCGTTCGGAGGCAACAGGTAGTTCGGAGGGGGACGTAACAGCTCGTTCGGAAGGGGCGGCAACAGGTCGTTGCTGCCAGCACCGCACCGCTTGTACACATCCACGGAGTCACATTGCGCTTTGTTCCACCACAGAAAGCACGCATTGTTGCCTGCGAAGTAGCAGTTGGTACACTTGTCACACTGGGGGTCCACTCGCTCGGGAGAAGCATCTTCTCGTTTGAACAACTTTCTGGAAACTTACATCCAGCACATTAATTCCTCTGTTCCACAAATCTCGACCGAGCAAAAATCAATTTGTTCTCTGTCGACATTTCAATATAGTTGGCTAAGACAAAAAATCCATACATTTCATTGGTTAAAAAGTAAATCAAACCACTTAACGCAGAAGACAGCTTAGATGAGAAGCGACACAGACCAAGCAATACTTGCCATGAGCGTCTGTCTCTTCGGAGCCAGGCAAGGGAAAGTGGTTGTCACCGTTGTTCTCGAGTACAAACGCATCTGTGAGGTTTTGGTTCATTCTTGAGCCTGTACATTGTGCTTCATCATGTCGGAACATTAAAAGGCTGGTTTGAGCACAATTTTGGGCCTGTACATTGTGCGACAATTGCGTTAGAAGGGTCACTAGTAGTACTATAATAGTACGAGTAAACAAGTGACATCGTCTGTGGGCCACGAACCCTTAGCTTCCGTATCACACTCACTCATTGTACAGTCGATACGATGCTCTAAAGAATTCTGTGTTCCGCACCCTGCACTGTCGACGTTCCGTCGACCAGCACAGCAACCACAACGGTGGTTAGACTCACAATGCAAACTGACTGTTATTAGCTTTTTATACTAACCAGTCGTCAATGTCGTCGTTAAAACACCACATGTTGCTGCACAACTCAATTGTCGCACAATGTACAGGCCCAAAATTGTGCTCAAACCAGTCTTTTAATGTTCCGACATGTTGAAGCACAATGTACAGGCTCAAGAATGAACCAAAACCTCACAGATGCGTTTGTACTCGAGAACAACGGTGACAACCACTTTCCCTTGCCTGGCTCCGAAGAGACAGACGCTCATGGCAAGTATTGCTTGGTCTGTGTCGCTTCTCATCTAAGCTGCCTTCTGCGTTAAGTGGTTTGATGAACTTTTTAACCAATGAAATGTATGGACTTTTTGTATAAGCCAATTATATTGAAATGTCGACAGAGAACAAATTGATTTTTGCTCGGTTGACAGATTTGTGGAACAGAGGAATTAATGTGCTGGATGTAAGTTTCCAGAAAGTTGTTCAAACGAGAAGTTCACCATCCTAGAATCACCATTTTCAAATCACTCAACATGAAGTCAAGCGCTTTCTTAACTCCGATGGCCTTGATCATGGTCATGATAGTCCATGATGCTTCTGCCGAGCGAGTGGTGGACCCCGAGTGTGGCGAGTGTACCAACTGCTACTTCGCAGGCGACAATAAGTGCATGTTGTGGTGGACCAAAGCGGAATGTGACTCTGTGGTTGAGTCCAAGTGGTGCGGTGCTGGCAGCAACGACCTGTTGCCGCTCCCTCCGAACGATCTGTTACAGCCCCCTCAGCTGTTACCCCCCCATCTGAAGGACCCGTTGCCGTGCCCTCCGAACGAGCAGTTGCCTCAGAACGAGCAGTTGCCTCCGAACGAGCAGTTGCCTCTGAACGAGCAGTTGCCTCCGAACGAGTATTTGCCTCCGAACGAACCGTTTTGGTCCACTCCGAACGAGCAGTTGCCGCCCCCTCAGGCCGATC